ATTTTGAACAGTGGGATGAGAACCAGCACCTCTTTCTATCTTTGAATGAATGACTCCCAGCCACCTCGTCATCATTGCCGCCACCAGTCCTCGAAGTCGTCGCCATCGCCACCGAGTCCCATTGCCCTCAACCCCCCCTTCGACTGTGCACGCAACGGCACCCACCCAACCCCCCGGCCTTCTGGTCTGGTAAGTCTCTCATCTTCCTTCTTCCTTTTCTTCCACTTATAGAGAGAGAGGTGGCTAATTACTCGTCGCCTCCTTCCCCTCTCCTTTGTCCTTGTTCTCCTTCTCCTCCTCCCCACCTGTCGCATGCCACATGGGACAGGGCACGCCCGACACACGTGATGCAATGTTTTCTAAGGCCTCTTTCCACCACATCGGACGCCCTCCTCCTCCTCAGGCCATCTTGTCGTCATACTCCTCTTCCTCCTCCTCGCACCATCTCCTCTATGTCACATCCTCCATCTCCTCTCCTCCTCCTCCCACCATCTCCTCCTCTCTTCCTCCTCCCCCAGGAATTGCACGTACACTTCACCTCCTCCTCCTCCTCCGGCCGCCGCCTCCTCCGCTGCCCCCTCCTCCTCCTCCTCATTGCAGCCTGCACACCCCCGTGACTGCAGGCAGCAGGGTTGCAGGCATATCAGGACCAACACTAACCAGTCCCGAACAACCTTTCCCCCCCCCCAGCCACCCCCCCCGACCACTTTACCTGTTTGCAGAAATAGGGTCTGCACGCTCTTGACGAGTGCAGAATGGCCCCATTATTTATTACCTGATCGGATGTCCAGGACCCCCTGACCGTCCGGTTGTCCGCCCGGACAACCAGGCCAAACGTCTGACCAGAGCCTTGTGTTTGAACCTACATAAAAATACCTAAATATATATATCATCAAACAGAGCTGCCCGGTAAACCATAGGCAGAGAGGGAGAAGAGGACAACAAATGAGGGGCTGTGACAAACTGTTTCGACGGAGTTTCACCGACTCATCAGGAGGCTGGATTTTTTATTTTTTTTTCTGTGGATTCTTTAGTGCGAGGATCTGGGTCCTTGACAGGCCTGAAGGGCCCCTGCTGCAAATGTGCCCACTCTAAGTGAAGGCAGGCCTAACAAATCACGAGAGGCACTAAGCTGTCAATTTCGTATTTGGGGTCCAGGCAGTTTCGTCGCGCCAGTTGGTTGAAGAAACACAGGCCGAGCAGCAAGCAAATTCCACGGCCTTCTAGGCAATTCCGAAGTGCAGGCCCTGGGCGAGATTTGCAGCCTCATACACAGACAGTTGGGAGGCCCAACTGAATGAGCCCCAGTAGCCGCACCAGAGGCGCAGCATCCTGGGGCCTACCGAAGCTTCTGGGCCCAGGCCCAGGCCAGTCAGGCTGCGAAGACAGGCAGGCTCTTTCCATATAGGAAAGAGCTCGCTGCCTGGCGAGACATTCAGGCACTCGCATGCTAGTGGCAGCGCTGCTGGAGCAAACGCTCGTGGGCTGCTGCTGGCGCTGAGAGGCAAGGTGCACGCGCGTGCGGTCATGCAAGAAGCAGGGCGCTGCTGAGGGCAGCGCCATAGCCCAGCCTCCATAGCTGGCTGAGGGCTTGGATATACAGCAAGGCGCAGGGGTGGTCTTTGGGTGTACAAAGGGAAGACGTGGGAAGATGAGGGAGAGAGAGAGAAGGATGATGATGATGACGATGTGAGGGCACATACCTGGTATTGGCGATGGTCTGCATGGGCGACATCTTCAAGTAGTTCGGAGGCTGCTAACGTCAACAGTTGCATTGTCAATTAGTAGGCTAGTAGTAGATGTGTAGGGAGTAGTCTGGGCGCCGAGCGCCAAGTAGGGAGATAGGGACTGGATACATATGTTGGTGGTGGCGAGGGCAAGCTCTCGTTGACATTGGTTTTTCAGTGCTACGATTCTCCATTGGTGTCATATTGGTGCAATGCTGCTTTCTGAACACTGTGATACGATCTGGCTTTCAATGTGATTGTGCAATCTGAATATTGTCATCTCGCTATTTGCAATCAGACTCGCTTTCATTCACACTCCACATGCATGCAAACAGGTTGCGCAGCAAACTGGCGTCAAGCGCCCACTCAGAACTCAGAGATATAGTACCAAGAACGCAGCTCAGATACAAGTTCATTTCAAATGGCCATGGCGGCACATCGCCTGTTCAACTCTCTGTTCGTCACTTACTCAACACTGCTGTTTGCACACAGGATCACCCTGGAACACCCTGTACACTCGCACACACCCGCACACACCCGCACACACCTACAGCTATGGCGGCTATGGCCGCTGCTACCCTATCGCTATGGCTAACTTCCTTCTCGCCCACTTCGTCTCCGGGCTCACTGCAGACCACCTCGCACAAGTCGCTGCGGCAGCGCTTCCGCATGGCTTATGCAGGAATGAATGAATGGCTGGGTGCTGCCTCTTGATTTATACTTCTATAACTCGCTGGTCTGCCCTTTTCCATCGGCCCATGGTGCATACAGTCCCTCATGGTACTTGCTGGACTGGACTGGGACTGACTGGACAGGCACCGCTGGCTGCATGGGTTTGCACCGCAGACTCACTGCAGTCACACTGCCAACGTACTGAGGTTGGCTCCACCACTTGCCCACTTGCCTCTGCCTAAACGTGAACCCACTCCGAAAGGCCACTTCCCGGACCTTCCGGAAGTCTGTGGACTTGGCCTTCCGGGTACTGTAGCAGCTACGACCTTGACCTTTCAGGGCTGTAGCAGCTACGACCTTGACCTTTCAGTTGACCTATAGCTACGACCTCTACAGAGTTGTGACCCCTACTTGACAGACCTACATATCGAATCCCTACATCTGCACAGTCCTATGACAGACAAACAACAACTAACAAAACACAGGTCACGGGTTCAAACACTCAGGGGTCAACTCGATACTGTACACAGGTAAGGTCAGAACTAGGGATCGAGCCCTGGGAACTGCATTCGCTACTGCTAGCAGGTGAAAACCGTTTCATATTGCTCATTTTCCTTGCAATTTGGTATCAGAGCGAGGTTCGAACTGCGCTCATTGGTTCTTCGCAATAGCTGTTCGGTGCTTCGCA